AGAGTACGCGATATGCGCGTACGCAGGGGTCGAGCAACCTGTGTACTTCGACGGACTACGACGAGGCGAGGACTCTCCCCTACAGGGCGCTGCGATGCAGAAACAACGTGCCCCGCTCCAGCCATAGCTGCGGCGCTCCGTAAGGGAAGGCGGGACAAGAGTTCGACTCGGGGAAGGCGGGATCTGTTGGATCTAGACTGCTAACGAATAGAGGTGAATGCCGTGTTGGCTTGGAGGAAAGTGCGGGGAGCATGGGTGGGGTTGCGGGGGGACGAGGGGAAGTTTTACAGGGGGAGGTTGGCGGGTGGTTGAGAGGTTTCTCAGGTTGGAGCTTTCACCATACCAAACAAATTGCGAACTCTCGATAGATTTATTGAAAGCTACTAAACCGTTCTCAGTTTCTCTGGAAGTTCAAAATTGACCAGTTGCGAGTCAAACAGCATTCTGTTCGGTTCGGGGATGTTACAAGAAGGATACAGTAAGGTGAAGTAGATTTCTGCAGCGAAATAAGCGATACAGTCTGGTTCCGTGACCCCACAAAGCCTTATCCTGCTCTGGAGTTTGTGAGGGGGGAGGGGGGAAGGTGGGTAGGGGGAGGGGGTTGGGGGGGGTGGGGGTGGGGTTAGGGGAGGCTCTTCTCGTCTCGTCTCAATTTTGCGGGAATTGGGGGAAGGGGGAAGGGGAGGGGGGATGCGGGCAAAACGAAACGATTGTGTGGAGTGCATGGCGGCAGTGGTGTTGCGCGTGTGCAGCCCCCATTGGACGTGCTGCCAGCACAGCAGCGGTCATGCGGCTCTTACCGAAGCGGCCAATGACGAGGAACAAGGTCACACGTGTTATCCACCGACACGACACGGGCACAGTGGCGGTTCTTTCTGGTTGCCTTCGCTCCGGCTTTGGGGTCGCACACGCGCGCGCAAGAAATTCTACGGCCGTCGCGTTGCCTGTTGAGTGTTACTTTCGAGGCACAGTATTAGAGAGTATTGCTCAAGAGTCGGAAACTAGGTAAATTGTTTGCAGGCGTATTCTCGATTTCCCGTTATAGTCGTCTCCTCGACAGAATTTGCAGCTCTGGTCTCTTGTCAGGCTTTCGGGGCGAAATCTCTTTCCGAAAATGTTTCGGGCCTTTCCCTCTCTGCCCGGGATATATCCGCGCATGTGTCGCGTTACATGTGCCATCCACAAATGTGTGTGGATATGCGAGAGTCGCACAACGAATATCGGATATTGTTAGTTATTAGAGATAAATTTAAAATATTTTAGAAAAGAAATACATATTACATATGACGCATTCTACTCATATTTTGAAAAACATGTGTTTCTCTAGCATAGACTGTTTTAGATAAAATAATTATTCACCCAAGAGGGCTAGTGATACGAACCAAGATGGCTTCACCCTTAGTGAAATTACATTAAAATCATTTCCATGTGCATAATCAAACTACTGAATCTATTGAATAGTTAATGCATATGTATTCTGCAACGCACGCATATGCACACACACATATGTACTATGAAAAAAAAAATCATATATTTTGTCTTACGATAATTGTCGTATTCACATTCTCGTGTCAACAACATACGAGGCGTCTGCAATTTTTTAGAACCGATTACGTTACATATTCAGGCTTCCAGAATGACATGAACAGGGTTATCCCGAATACGGAAACACGACCCTGGTTTTCTCAAACCCCATTAACAACTACGCATTTCGAAAATGATTGCTCAAGGGGTATCTTTCGCTTTCGTAAAAATGTCAATAAAATTGTCAAATATTTTTGTTCCATTTAGCTCTTTTTGTGAGACCACGAAAAGGTGTTTCCTTTTTTCTTTTTTTTTTTGGTTGCGGAGCAACCTATTACGATCGATTTTGCCGATTTTTTTTTTCACTCAAAAGTCTGGATGGAAAACCTTTGCACAATAAAATATGACCTGCAGTTTTGGTTCTCTTCCTATGAATGTAACAAAATGCTAAAGGTGTTTATTCTATGATAGGAATCAAATGCATCTATTTTGAAATAATATTTGCATCATATTTGGTTGATTTCTGGTGTACTGTGAAATTTTGGCATGCCTCTTGTTTGATTGCATCACATCGTTGTGTACGGATTCAATCGAGTCGTGCAAGAAAATTCATGTCATCATTCATGACATGAAAAAAAAAAAAAAAATGATGATTATGTGACAGTGAAAAACTCAAACTCTAAGCTACTGCTTCCCCAGCGCTAGCATGGGGGGGGAAGTCAGCAAGCCTAGTGTCTGAATGATGGAGCAACGCAACCTGTAATGTCCAAAAAAAGAACCAAAACCTATCAAATCCAGTTCGAGACAGAAACTCAAGGAGCTCGCCTGTGAACCGTTTGTGATTTGATAAGCATGCTTTCTTTTTTCGAAATACAGACATACATTGCTGTGGATCGAGAATGAGAGCAAATAACAGCAGCAAGACACATCAGACCAAATACAGGACGCCAGCAATTATAAGAATATAAAGCTGAAAATGAGATAATTGAACATCCCAACGAATTACAGCAAAACGCCGTAGGGAACTCATAAACGCGTTTACAAGAAAACCTGCACAAAATTAAAGTGGATATTATATTAGGCATTGCGTATGAAAGGAGTGAACAACAAGCAGCTAGGCCGAGAACGAATAGGCATGGGAAGTTAACACAAAATGTGATGGTGAAAGGAAAGAGACGAAGAGAGACAAGTTGAAAGAGAGGTAGAGAGAGGCAGAGAGGGAGAGAGAGAGAGAGAGAGAGAGAGAGAGAGAGAGAGAGAGAGAGAGAGAGAGAGAGAGAGAGGGGGGGGGGGGGGGTAAAACGACATGCAAGGAGGGGGGAGACGGCGGGCAAAGAAGTGGTTACGACGGACTAGGAGGGTGAAAAGGCGGGCAAAGGAGAGGGGAAACGACAGATGAGAATCCATACCGAGTACCTAAGCTGAAAGAGACCATTTACGTTTCCTCTACTAGCTTGAGGAAAAAACGAGAGAAGAAACATAGAGAAACTAGTAAGATACGACTACACGAAAATGTCATCAAGCCACTCTTAATGCCGACCTGGAGTAGTCTGTCGTACAGCTGCGATAAGAAAAGGCAGTCGTAGCTGCTGTCATGTTGCTGCCTAATCACCAGATCTAGAATCACGAATTGCTGGAAGTGGGGAAGAGAAAAACGTGAGACAGAAGTATAGAGGAGGAAGAATCGAGCATAAGGAATTCACGTTTCTACAGCTCTGAACTCGCAAGCAGAGAAGGTGCGTTCAAACAGCCGCGGTTTTGGAGCTCTGAAAGAAGAATTGTTTTTTTCTTGGTCAGAAAGTGCCCCATCGCACTGAAATTCGCGTAATCGTGTTATTTAACCAAAACTATCGGTAGTGTAACTCAGAAATTCGAGTGTGTAACGCGTAATGCATCCAGTGGCGAGCTCGGGGGTTTTGCCTCTTATTGACGGGAAAAAAATCAGCATTCTGTGGCGAGTGTTGCTAGGCTGGTGTCATTGCCACGTCGGATTATATTTCCGTCTGGCAGTTACGCGTGACGAGCCTCGCCACTGGGAAAAAAATAACAGCATTGCCAGGTGGCCAGATTTGCTCGCCACAAGTCAACAGTGGCCATAGTCAACAAATAATTAAACAAAATGAAAACGGAAACTCCCGACGGCTGGGCATTTGGCGGAAAGGTAAAAATAAAAACAAGGCTCGACGTAAATCGTCGGATGGGTTGCGTACGTCCATATTTCTTCTCTCACAATTTGAATTCGCATCCCCCCCCCCCCCCCCCCCCCCCTCCCTTTTTTTGTTTTAATTTCACTGGGACTGTGCACTAGAAAGTTTGTGAGTCAACACTAGAAAAGTGATTCTGTAAGTGAATATATTTTAAACGTGTAATAGTACAAACTATAGCAAAAATATAGTTATATATAAAATAAGTTCTGTATTGCTGTATTGGAGTAGTAACTGTGCTGACATGTTTAAAAGGGGAGAATGGCACAGCGAGTAACTGTGCTGACCTGTCCTCGGTTAGCTTTCTGGGGCAGAGTGAATACACCCCTGCTAGGGTGTGTTGGTGCTTCTTGTTTCTGCTCGTCCTTCCCCCTTGCTCTTTCGTTCGTGCCTTGTTCTTGCTCATAGAGGTAGTCCATCCCTGCTCACGCCTAGAACTTGCTCACACCTAGTCCTTGCTCCCACCCACCGTAGTCCTTGCTCACACTTAGTTCTTTGCTCATACATAGTCCTAGCTCGAAACTGGCGCATTTCGCGCTGGCGCGTCTCGCGCTGGCGCGTTTCGCGCTGGTCCGTATCGCGCTGGCGCCTGGCGCGCTGGCGCGTTACGCACTGGCGCCGTGTGCGCAGGCGCCTTGCGCGCTGGCGCCGTGCGCGCAGGCGCGTCTCGCGCTGGCGCCGTGCGCGCAGGCGCGTTTCGCGCTGGCGCCGTGCGCGCAAACGCCTTGCGCGCTGGCGCGTTTCGCGCTGGCGCCGTGCGCGCTGACGCGTCTCGCGCAGGCGCAGTGCGCGCAGACGCCTTGCACGCCAGCGTGGTCCGCGCTGGCGCGATGCGCGTTGACGCCTCGCGCGCTGACGCCATCTCTTTGGGGTCATGGCGCTGTGCAAGTCGTCGTGGAATGAAGTGTACGTGCGACAACACTGCAGGTAAGCTCTAGTCCCCTTCGTCCCTCCCCCTTTGTCATCCCCCCTCCGTTCCCCCCCCTTTGCCGTCCCCCCTCGTTCCTCCCCCTTTGCCCTCCCCCCTCCGTTCCTCCCCCTTTGCCGTCCCCCTCCGTTCCCCACCCTTTGCCATCCCCCCTCCGTTCCCCCCCCTTTGCCGTCCCCCCTCCGTTCCTCCCCTTTGCTGTCCCCCCTCCGTTCCCCCCCTTTGTCGTCCCCCCTCCGATCCTCCCCCTTTGCCGTCCCCCTCCGTTCCCCCCTTTGTTGTCCCCCCTCTGTTCCCCCCCCTTTGCCGTCCCCCCTCCGTTCCCCCCCTTTGTCGTCCCCCCTCCGTTCCTCCCCTTTGCCGTCCCCCTCCGTTCCCCCCCCTTTGTCGTCCCCCCTCCGATCCTTCCCCTTTGCCGTCCCCCCTCCGTTCCCCCCTTTGTCGTCCCCCTCTGTTCCCCCCCCCTTTGCCGTCCCCCTTCGTTCCCCCCCCTTTGTCGTCCCCCCTCCGTTCCCCCCCTTTTGTCGTCCCCCCTCCGTCCCTCCCCCTTTGTCGTCCCCCCTCCACCCCCCCCCTTTGCCGTCCCCCCTCCGTTCCCCCCCTTTGCCGTCCCCCCTCCGTTCCCCCCCTTTGCCGTCCCCCTCCGTTCCCCCCCTTTGTCGTCCCCCTCCGTTCCTCCCCTTTGCCGTCCCCCTCCGTTCCTCCCCTTTGCCGTCCCCCTCCGTTCCCCCCCCTTTGCCGTCCCCCTCCGTCCCCCCCCCTGCCGTCCCCCCTCCGTTCCTCCCCCTTTGCCGTCCCGCCTCCGTCCCCCCCCTTTGCCGTCCCCCCTCCGTTCCCCCCCCTTTGTCGTCCCCCTCTGTTCCCCCCCTTTGCCATCCCCCTCCGTTCCCCCCTTTGTCGTCCCCCTCCGTTCCCCCCTTTTGTCGTCCCCCCTCCGTTCCTCCCCCTTTGTCGTCCCCCCTCCGTTTCCCCCCCCTTTGCCGTCCCCGCTCCGTTCCCCCCCTTTGCCATCCCCCCTCCGTTCCCCCCCGTTGCCGTCCCCCCTCCGTTCCCCCCCTTTGTCGTCCCCCTTCGTTCCCACCCCTTTGCCGTCCCCCCTCCGTTCCTCCCCTTTTGCCGTCTCCCCTACATCCCTCCCCCTTTGCCGTCCCCCTCCGTTCCTCCCCCTTTGCCGTCCCCCTCCGTTCCCCCCCTTTGTCGTCCCCCCTCCATTTCCCCCCCTTTGCCGTCCCCCCTCCGTTCCCCCCCTTTGCCGTCCCCGCTCCGTTCCCCCCCCTTTGCCGTCCCCCCTCCGTTCCCCCCCTTTGCCGTCCCCGTCCTTTCCTCCCCCTTTGTCGTCCCCCTCCGTTCCCCCCCCTTTGACGTCCCCCCTCCGTTCCTCCCCCTTTGCCGTCCCCCTCCGTTCCCCCCCTTTGTCGTTCCCCTCCGTTCCCCCCCTTTGCCGTCCCCCCTCCGTTCCTCCCCCTTTGCCGTCCCCCTCCGTTCCCCCCCCTTTGTCGTCCCCCCTCCGTTTCCCCCCCTTTGCCGTCCCCCGTTCCCCCCCTTTGCCGTCCCTCCGTTCCCCCCCTTTGCCGTCCCCCGTCCTTTCCCCCCCTTTGCTGTCCCCCTCCGTTCCTCCCCCTTTGCTGTCCCCCCTCCGTTCCTCCCCCTTTGCTGTCCCCCTCCGTTCCTCCCCCTTTGCTGTCCCCCCTCCGTTCCTCCCCCTTTGCTGTCCCCCTCCGTTCCTCCCCCTTTGCTGTCCCCCTCCGTTCCTCCCCCTTTGCTGTCCCCCCTCCGTTCCTCCCCCTTTTCTGTCCCCCCCGTTCCTCCCCCTTTCTGTCCCTCCGTTCCTCCCCTTTGCCGTCCCCCCTCCGTTCCTCCCCCTTTGCCGTCCCCCCTCCGTTCCTCCCCTTTGCCGTCCCCCTCCGTTCCCCCCCCTTTGCCGTCCCCCCTCCGTTCCCCCCCTTTGCCGTCCCCAGTCCTTTCCTCCCCCTTTGTCGTCCCCCTCCGTTCCCCCCCTTTGCCGTCCCCCTCCGTTCCCCCCCTTTGCCGTCCCCCCTCCGTTCCCCCCCCTTTGACGTCCCCCTCCGTTCTCCCCCTTTGCCGTCCCCCCTCCGTTCCCCCCCTTTGCTGTCCCCCTCCGTTCCCCCCCCTTTGCCGTCCCCCTCCGTTCCTCCCCCTTTGCCGTCCCCCTTCTTTCCCCCCCCTTTGTCGTCCCCCCTCCGTTTCCCCCCCCCTTTGCCGTCCCCGCTCCGTTCCCCCCCTTTGCCGTCCCCCCTCCGTTCCCCCCCCTTTGCCGTCCCCCGTCCTTTCCTCCCCCTTTGCTGTCCCCCCTCCGTTCCCCACCCTTTGCCGTCCCCCGTCCTTTCCTCCCCCTTTGTCGTCCCCCCTCCGTTCCCCCCCCTTTGCCGTCCCCCCTCCGTTCCCCCCCTTTGCCGTCCCCCCTCCGTTCCCCCCCTTTGACGTCCCCCCTCCTTTCCTCCCCCTTTGCTGTCCCCCCTCCGTTCCCCCCCTTTGCCGTCCCCCTCCGTTCCCCCCCCTTTGCCGTCCCCCCTCCGTTCCTCCCCCTTTGCCGTCCCCCTCCGTTCCCCCCCCTTTGTCGTCCCCCCTCCGTTTCCCCCCCTTTGCCGTCCCCGCTCCGTTCCCCCCCCTTTGCCGTCCCCCCTCCGTTCCCCCCCTTTGCCGTCCCCGTCCTTTCCTCCCCTTTGCTGTCCCCCTCCGTTCCTCCCCCTTTGCTGTCGCCCCTCCGTTCCTCCCCCTTTGCTGTCCCCCCTCCGTTCCTCCCCTTTGCTGTCCCCCCTCCGTTCCTCCCCCTTTGCTGTCCCCCCTCCGTTCCCCCCCCTTTGCCGTCCCCCGTCCTTTTCCTCCCCCTTTGCTGTCCCCCCTCCGTTCCTCCCCCTTTGCTGTCCCCCTCCGTTCCTCCCCTTTGCTGTCCCCCTCCGTTCTCCCCCTTTGCTGTCCCCCCTCCGTTCCTCCCCCTTTGCTGTCCCCCCTCCGTTCCTCCCCTTTGCTGTCCCCCCTCCGTTCCTCCCCCTTTTCTGTCCCCCCTCCGTCCTCCCCTTTGCCGTCCCCCCCGTTCCTCCCCCTTTGCCGTCCCCCCTCCGTTCCTCCCCTTTGCCGTCCGCCCTCCGTTCCCCCCTTTGCCCCCCCCCCGTTCCCCCCTTGCCTCCCCTCCGTTCCCCCCCCTTTGCCGTCCCCTGTCCTTTCCTCCCCCTTTGTCGTCCCCCTCCGTCCCCCCCCTTTGCCGTCCCCCCTCCGTTCCCCCCCTTTGCCGTCCCCACTCCGTTCCCCCCCCTTTGACGTCCCCCTCCGTTCCTCCCCCTTTGCCGTCCCCCCTCCGTTCCCCCCCCTTTGCCGTCCCCCCTCCGTTTCCCCCCCTTTGCCGTCCCCCCTCCGTTCCTCCCCCTTTGCCGTCCCCCCTCCGTTCCCCCCCCTTTGTCGTCCCCCTCCGTTTCCCCCCCCTTTGCCGTCCCCGCTCCGTTCCCCCCCTTTGCCGTCCCCCCTCCGTTCCCCCCCCTTTGCCGTCCCCCGTCCTTTCCTCCCCCTTTTGTCGTC